AACAAACAAACAAACAAACACACACACACAACAAACAACCTAAACTGACAGACAGATAAAAGCCCCTGACTTGGAAACATCATACTGGAATGCCCTTCTAGGGAAGAAGGCACAAAGTACAAATATCAGGAGCTTAAGCCAAATGCTTTTGATGCTTTCTTATTCATAGACAAGCAGCTCACCATAAGACACAGCAGCCCAGCTACACTGATCAAACGCCATTCCCGGAAAATGTATACTTTTGTTTCAGACACACACACACACACACACACACACACACACACACGCGCGCGCGCCCAACTCCACCCGCTTTTCTCTGCTTCCGTAACACAGCAGACATTCCACACTTGTCACGCTTCATCCCTCCAGAACTTTCTCCCTCCTGCCCCATAGGCCTACCCCCAAACCACAAAGCCCCTCTTTCTGGAATACGGGCGGTGGTTTCCCCAGTCTTTTGTCGAATCCCCTATGTATGCCTCTTACCTTTGTGCCCCGGGTTGTAGATGGGCTTGTCAGTTTGTATAAAGATGCCGTTCTCCTGCCTCTGAATCAGAACCTTTTTCTTCTCCACAAAATTGATGTTATTTCCAGTTCCCGACACCCAGATTGTAGCCACTTCTTCTGTGCCACCAGCAGGAGGTGGTACCTGGACAAGAGAAGGGGGCTCTGGAGGAGCAGGATGTTGGGGAATGAATCAACTGGTCTCAACCCCAGAGTGGGAGGGTGGAAGGAAAGAGCTGAGTTAGAGGCGGGTAGCAAAGTTAGGGCCGTAAGACACATTGCCAGGGAAAAGAAGGGAAACGATATTCAGAGGTTAAGGTCAACAACTAAAGGAAGAAATCCAAGGTCAAGGAAATGGTGAATGAGTTATGGCCAGGAGCTGAGTTTACGTTTAGGGGAGATAAGTTTAAAGACCGTGGCAAAAGTAAGGCAACAGAAATCGTACTTACAATCAGATTGTGCCAAGTGTCTCCAAAGAAGGATAAGAAAGGAAGGGAGCAGATTCAGGGTTGAATCTGTGCTTACCAGAAAGGAGGTGCAATGGAAGTGTCTCTTCTTCAACCCAGAGGTTTCTAGCAACTTCTGGGTCTTGTCTTTGGTCTCCAGAGTAATAGTGAATTTTACATCATGGTTCCCAGGGCTCAGATCCAGACAAACTTTCTGGGTAGAGGGGAAGTTAAGCTGGGCTGGTAAGGTCACCAGGTAGTTTCTATTAAGGAAATATAAGGGTTTCAGGGCAGTAATGATATATTCAGGCAGTGAAAAATTAAGCTCTCTCCTAAGAACTCAGCATATAGCAGTGAATTAAGCAGACTGAGCCCTTGCCTTTAGGAATCTTATTTTCTATAATGGAGAAACAGATGAGTAACAAATAACTCAGTGCATAGCCTTAAACCTCCCACAATCACTAGGAGACCATCACTGAGAACCTATGCCTAGGGTACCAAGAAGGAAATTAATTCTATTACAGAGAACAGGGTATTAGGACTCTATTGTATTTTAACATTATCTTTTTTTTTTTTTTTTTAACATTATCTTTCCTAAGGCTCCCTTTTGATGCCTCAGCCTTTCTCTCTGGGTAAAGGAGAAATGAAACCAAAGAAGGAACAGATGAGAAGGAAATTAAAATAAGTCAAAGGTTATCTCTTCTCCCGCATATTTACATTTGAGAAAAATAGACAAAGAAGCCACCTGCCCTACATCACCTCTGACACCAAGCACTTACGGGAGAGATTTTTCTGCAATGGCTGGTGACAGGGCCAATATTCCTAGAAGGAGTTGAGCCCACATCTTTGCGGGTGAGACAGACTCCTCAAGAGCAGGAAGCAGAAATCTGGGTCCCCGCTATAGCATATATATTAACCCCACAGGGTGTGGAGTTTTTATTAATGCTCCAGCCAATAACCTACTGGGGCCCCAGGCTAAGGTGGTAACCCAGGGTAGGACCTCTGCCACTTCCTCAAGTTTATTTCTCCCTGAAATATTCATACTGGCTCAGCCAGTTCGTAATACCTGTTCTGGGGGAAAACCCAGGGCTGAGTATTCATAGTGGTAATGCTCTTGGAACAAATTTTGGACTCCTCCCTTTTTTTCTGGTGTCATTCCAAATTTCCGTCCATGTTTGATCTTTGCTCTCTTTTTTATGATCCTATTAAGACATTATTTGGGAACACAGGTATGGGTGTTCTATACACAGGTATAGAAAAGCAGTCTATCTACTTGGGAATTTAAAAAAATTCCCGTGACTGTAAGGAAATAGGGACATATACACTCCTTACAAAAGTATAAATGGACAACCTTTCTGAAGGCAATTTCACACACATCAAAAGCCTTTCAGATCTGCGTGTTCTATGACTCAGCAATTCCTACTTTGGAAATGTTTCTTAATGCGGAAAGAAAGCATGCATGTATGCAAAAGATGTAGTTACTAAGTTGCTTCACAGTGTTCTTTATAATGGCAAGACTTTAAAAAAAAAATTTTAAGTGTATTTATTTTGAGAGAGAGAGCGCAAGTAGAAGAGGGACAGAGAGAGAGAGAGAGAGAGAAAATCCCAAGCAGACTCCGCACCACCAGTGCCGAGCCCAATGTGGGGCTTGCACTCACGGACTGCAAGATTATGACCTGAGCGGAAGTCAAATGCTTAACCTACTGAGCCACCCGGCCACCCCTAAAATGGCAAGACTTGAATGCCGCCTACAGCATAAATCAGTAGGGATACTTTCTGGAGCACTGAACAACCCAAATCAAACCAACTTAAACAAAAAAGGATTTTTGGTAACTGGGGTGGATCACACACAGAGAACTGAAGGAACCAGAGAAACTGAACATGTTATGGCCCGAAGTCAGAGAACTGATGCTGCCAGGACTCGCTTCTCCCAATCTTTCAGTCCCGCCACACACAGGATTTCCTTCAAGCAGTGGAGAAGAGGGAGCTGTGAATCCTTCCAGCTCTATGATCCCAAGAGACAGAAATTTTTCATCTATGTTAGGGAAATTTCTGAAGAAGGATTTTGTTCCTCCTTCTCTCACATGCTCACCTCTGAATCAATCATTGTAGCCAGAATACTACGAGGGGGAGGACCTGGGTCCTTCTTACCACCCAAAGGCCAGCAGGATGAAGCAACCCCAAAGAGACATGTGGCATTGACCAAAGGAAGTTCTCTTCCACCGCTATGTCGGGGTAAAGATGCTGGGAAAATCAAATGTTAGGTCTATTACAGTGCCCAATCATTTTAATTTGGTTGAAAAAACTGCCAGATTAATATAAAACAACAATAAACAGCCGCTACAAATAATCTTCTCATGGGGCACCTGGGCGGTTCAGTCGATTAAGTGTCCGACTCTTGGTTTTGGCTCCGGTCGTGATCTCGCGGTTTCGTGGGTTCCAACCTCCGCGCTGGGCTCTGTGCTGACAGCATGGAGCCTCCTTGGGATCCTCTCTCTCTCTCCCTCTCTCTGCCCTTCCCCCACCCGCACTCTCTCTGTTTCTCTCAAAATAAATACATAAACTTTAAAAAAATAACAATATTTTCATGACAAGGGGAACTGTTTGCAGTACTAGTTGAACGGCAGGGAGGGAAGGGGGAATATGGTACAAAACAACATGTAGGAAGTGTCATTTCCATTTAGGATGTAAAAAAAAAAACCTGAAAAGAGCATTTTTCCCTACCTGATAGTGAGAAAAGGCCAGATGAAGTGCAAAATGCCAACTTTTCTTGAACCAAAAAGTTGAACGTGAGAGCCGAACCAAGGTTGCTGGTCAACTAAGTAGCCTGAAATCCAAGGAGGCACAGCTCCTCCGGAGAGGAAACTGAGTGTTGAACAGTCTCATCTATGCCAGAACATGGGAGGTGTTTGGGCCCTCACACAAGCCAGTACGAACGCAGCTAAAATTTCAATGATTTACTAAAAGTCTAGTGTGGACTGGAGTAACTACAAGGACGCTCTGTGTGCCACAAGGGGGGCTTATATTCACTTACAGGTCTGTCCTCAAAGGTGTTTTCCGTGACCTTTACCAAGTGCTCACGAGAAAGACTGGATACAGAATAAGACTGAAAAGAGCTTCCCTTAGTAGTGTAGACAGAGAGAACAGTATTTATGTATTCCATAGGAAAAGCCCCAGCTGCCCAGAGTCCTTTAAGCCTCTGGGTAGAAGCAGTAAATACCGTTGCCCCTTCTGGTGCACAGGTAAATACCCGTAGTTGTCCGGGGATGGATAGAGGAAGAAGAAGAAGAAGGAGGAGGAGGAGGAGGAGGAGAAAGAAGGAGAAGCAGAAGGAGAAGGAGAAGGAGAAGAAACCTACCCCAGAGGGAGGGAAAAGAAACAGACCTCAGCCCAGAAGTCTATACCAATGCTCTCAGAAGTTTCCTAAGACTGAAAGAACAGCAGGAAAATCTTTTCCACACAAGACCTGCCACAGATACAAAGGAGAGTTTGGTTGGGAGTAGAGGCAGGAATCCTAAGAAAATCTCACCCTCCAGGGCCCAGGCATATCAACTACCTATCAACAGAGCCACTGAACCCTGTCACCAGCACTCGAAGCAAAAACATAATGAGTAGAAGCAGTTCACCACCGGCAGAGGGGCAAAATATGGAGAGAGACCAGCTCTGTGGCACCTATAATGTGTATGGGGAAGGCCGAGAGGAGAAAGTGGTGAATAAACACCGAGGTCTCCAGCATTCCAGACCCGACCCTAAGCATCAGGCATCCTAAGAGGAGTCCAAAGCCTATGGTGCACTGAAAATAACCTTGGCAAGAGCAAACCCTAAATCCACCCCATCTTTTAACTAGCATGACTTCATCCGCCGTGATCAACTGCCCGAGAAGAGATGTGTCCCTTTCTAGGGTCACCATCTCACGGTCTGTGAGTTCAAGCCCCACGTCGGGCTCTGTGCTGACAGCTCAGAGCCTGGAGCCTGCTTCGGATTCCGGGCTTCCCTCTCTCTCTGCTCCTCCCCCGCTCATGTTCTGTCTCTCTCCTTCAAAAATAAATAAAAACATTAAAAAAAAAAAACTTAGAAAAAAAAAAAAGTCTTGAAGAGGGCCAGAGGAATAAAAAACTCATCATGTATAGAAAAGCAAAGGTGAGAGTTACAGCGAACTTCATGAGAAGCAATGTTAGCCGGAAGACAATGACTTGGCGTCTTCAAAATACTGAAAGGAAAGGAAAAAAAAAAAACCCCACAAAATCCAGTATTCTGTTAGCCAACAAAAACATCTTGTCAAGGAAGGGGAAAAAAAGACTTTTTCAGAGAAACCAAAGGTTCGTGCCAGACCTGTGCTACTGGCAATATTAAAGGGAGTCTTACAGCAGCAGATATGACAGGGGTGACAAACTATAGCCTGCAGGTTAAATCCCGCCCCCCACAGGTTTTGTAAATAAAGTTTTGTTGGAGCACGGTAACACTCATTTGCTCCTGTGCTACCATGGTAGACTTGGAATTCCAAGAGGAATTCCAAGAGACCATTTGTCTTGCAAACCCTCATGATTTACTCTCTGATCATTTCTAGAAAGTTTGCTAACTCCTCTCATAAGATACCAGACAGAAACTGCCCAAATAAATGAAGATCTCTGGAAACGGGATCAAATAAATATAAAAGACATCAAAAAAATTTTTTTAATGTTTATTTATTTTGAGGGAGAGAGAGAGACAGAATGTGAGCAGGGGAGGAGCAGAGAGAGAGGGAGACGCAGAATCTGAAGCAGGCTCCAGGCTCGGAGCTGCGAGCACAGAGTGCAAGGTGGGGCTCGAACTCACAAACCGAAACCATGACCTGGGCCGAAGTCGACGCTTAACTGACTAAGCCACCCAGGCACCCCCATTTTGTACATCTCTTAAGTACCTCCAAATTAATTCCCTCTGCTTCTGCTCTCCAAACTCTTTCAATGTTCCTTCCCTGTTTGCTTGGTATAATTTTATGATTAATGGCACCATTCGCTCTTTCCTATAGCTAACCTCAGGAAGAAGGAAGTTAGGATCCAGGAAGAAGGATCCACCTTTTATTTTTTTTTAAATAGGCTCCACACCCAACCTGGGGCTGGAATTCACAACACTGAGGTCAAGAGTCACACGCTCTACTGATTGAGCCATCCAGGAATCCCTGAAGAATCTATCTTCTGTCTCAATTGATTTATTAATAAGAGAGACATGGCAAAATGTTTGTTGGGACCCTGCCCCAGAGTTTCTGACTCCTTGGTCTCTGGTGGGGCCTGAGAATTTGCATTTTTTAACATTTTTTTGTTAATATTTTATTTATTTTTGAGAGAGAGAGAGAGAGAGAGACAGCACAACCAGGGGAGGGACAGAGAGAGAGGGAGACAGAGTCTGAAGACAGTCTCCAGGCTCTGAGCTGTCAACATAGAGCGTGACGCAGGGCTCAAACTCAAGAACCGTGAGATCATGACCTGAGCTGAAGTTGGATGTTTAACCAACTGAGCCACCTAGGTGCCCCGAGAATTTGCATTTTTTAAAAAATGTTTATTTATTTTTGAGACAGAGGGAGACAGAGCGCGAGTGGGGGAGGGGCAGAGAGAGAGAGGGAGACACAGAATCTGAAACAGGCTCCAGGCTCTGAGCTGGCAGCACAGAGCCCGACACGGGGCTCGAACCCACCAACCGTGAGATCATGACCTGAGACGAAGTCAGACGCCGAACCGACTGAGTCGCCCAGGCGCCCCCGAGAATTTGCATTTTGAACAAGTTCCAAGGTGAGGCTGACTTCCCGGTCCAGAGACCGTACTTCGAGAACAGCTGCTGTAATGCTAGATCTAAGAGTAGTCAGAAAGG